TGCGCTACAGCGCCCTCTACGGTTCTGGCCGCGGCACTTGTTTAGCGCGCCTTGCCGCGACCGGCAAGACCGCCTGCTGTGCATCACATTAATTTATGCGTACGCCATCACAATAATTAATTTAGTTTTCATCGGGTCCGAGTCCGCAACGTGGCACATCTCCTTGCCATTCTCAGTTTTGAGTCTTCTCTGCTTTGGCTCATGCCCGACTTGCATCCTGCTGCCTTTGTCTTTTGCTGACCGAACTGTCATTGCCTAGTCATGTCGGGCACCAGGAAGAGAACCCGTCGCGCAGCACCTAGCCCTGTTCCCGACCCACCTGTTTCTTCGGCTGCGGACCCCGAGCTGCCGAGTAACGCTGCCTCACCACTCGACGGCGGACAATTCAAGCAATTTATATCTGACGAAGTCCAGAAAGCCGTCACCGCCGCCCTGGCAGAAACGGTCTCCCCACTGCTTGCCACCATCGGATCCTCGCAGCCTTCCCCCGCCATGGCCGTACCCACCGGAAATGCTGCGCCAACTGGTCCGGGTGCTGGCTCTCTATCTCATCCACTGAACGTGCCGTCTCACGTGAGAGAGAGGATTTTGCGAGGTGAGTGTGTTGATTTGAATACACTGTTACCGGAAGCTCTTGGGGCACCAAAGCGTGACACGATTCAGTTGAATTTCAGTGGGTCCAGGACTGTTGAGCTGCTGGATCCCAGCTCTGGCGGGCATGTCGAGAAAGTTCGTAGGCATGTTCACGACCTGGTTACATGGCTAGAAGCCTGGTCCAGATATATGTTCGTACTATGCTCGCACGCACCCAGCCGTTTCTCCGAACTGATGGCATATCAGGCCACCATTGTATCGGCCAACTCCTCATACTATCCGGAGGCCTGGCTCGAATATGACCGGGAGTTCCGTCTGGCAATCTCTCTTGACCCCAGTAAGCGTTGGGACGCCATTGACGGCAATCTCTGGCAACTGAAAATGACAGGCCGCTCACGCCCGCAGTGTAGCACATGCCGGATCACTCACCCTCCATCGGGTAGCCAGTGCCCTTTTCGTGCCTCCCGAGTACCAAACCAGCAGTTTGCACCACGGTCTGCCTACACCAAGTCTGGCAAAGAGATCTGCCGGAATTTCCAGCAAGGTCGATGCTCCAACACCGACTGTAAATTTGCCCACGTCTGCTCCCAATGTGAGGGCGCACATGCCCGCCCCTCCTGCCCGCGTCGCTTCTCCACTGGCAACCAGCGGCAGAACAAAGCTTAATGAACTGCATCTCGATAGTAGCATTCTCCGGACACACCCTACATTCTTTCACACTTGCCGCACACCTATTCACGTTAATCGCCTCCGTTCCTTACTGCGTGCACACCCCGATCAAGCTTTTGTTAAATATGTACTTCATGGCCTTACGTATGGTTTTGACATCGGCTTCAATGGCCCACGCCAAACCAGCATGTTCTCCCCTAACTTACCTTCTGCGAGGATGCATCCCGATTTTATTACCAAATACCTGCAAGAATGTTGCTCCCGCTTTGAACTGCTAGGTCCTTTTTCCTCCTCGCTTTTTCCTTTTTTTCATTGCTCCGGTGTTGGCTGCGTTCCGAAAAAGAACGGCCGCTTTCGTTTAATCCACCATCTCTCTAGCCCAGAGGGTCAAAGTGTAAACGATGGAATTTCACGTGAAGATTTCAGCTTGCATTACATCACTATTGATCACGCGATCGATGCCATTATGCAGTACGGTCGTTCTGCTTATCTTTTCAAACTTGACATTCGGAGTGCTTTCCGCATTGTACCTGTGCGGCAGGAAGACTGGCCTCTGCTAGGTATTCACTGGCAAAACCAATATTATTTCGACACTGTGCTCCCCTTTGGCTTACGCTCCAGCCCTGCCATTTTTAACTCTATTGCCGACTGCCTTGAATGGATTGCTCGCTATGAGTTTTCTATTACTGACCTGCTCCATTATCTAGATGATTTCCTTTGCATTTCTCCATCGGAGCTGGTGGCGAACCAACGTGCTTCAATCCTGCTTCGCTGTTTTAACTATGTCCAAGTCCCCTTGGCACCTGACAAAGTGGAAGGTCCAGCTCAAGTGCTGTCGTTCCTGGGCATCGAGCTGGACTGTGGCAGACTGGAGGCCCGGCTACCAGACACCAAGTTGCAAGATCTCCGCACCTTGCTCGACCAGTATGTCAACCGTGGCGACATGACCCAACGCGAACTCGACTCACTATTGGGAAAACTCTCCTTCGCAGCTCGGGTAATTATACCTGGTCGGACATTCATGCGCCGACTCTGGGATATTTGTCACCGCTACAGTCAGCCACACTATAAGATCAAACTCTCAGTCGAGGCCCTGGAAGACCTGAAGTGGTGGCAACGCCTCCTCTCGCAATGGAACGGAAAGTCCTTCTTTCATATGCCAAATTGGACCCCGTCTCCCGACATCCAATTGTTTACCGATGCCAGCGGTTCGATCGGCTGGGGCGCATGTTATGGCCATCGCTGGATCCAGGGACAGTGGTTGCCGGAACAAGCCGACTACTCCATCGAGTGGAAGGAGATGTTCGCCATTGCCGCAGCTTGCTCCTCCTGGGGCCTTGAATGGCGCAAGCTCCGCATACTCGTGTACTGCGATAACGAAGCCGTAGTGGCATGCCTGTCCAATGGTTGTAGCCGCTCCCCCCCAGTCATGGACCTGATACGACGGCTGTTCTTCATGTGCGCTAACTTTGGCTTCATTCTGTCAGCAAAGCATATTCCAGGATGCACTAACAAAGCCGCTGATGCTCTGTCTCGTTTTAACATGCAGGCGTTTCGCGAGGCGGTTCCGGGAGCTCGGGCGACAGCCGACCTGTTCCAGTCATTCTAACTGCCGCGGACGAATTAGCAGCACGATATGCTGCTCACGCTCTATCCGACAACACCAGACGAACGTATTCCGCCGGCGAATCTAAGTATCTCAAGTTCTGCCAACTTCAAAGATGGTCCCCGTTTCCCGCTTCAGACCTAATGCTGAGTAGTTTTGCTGCCTCCCTAACCCAGTCGGTCAGACCAGTGACTATTAAGGTTTACCTCAGCGCTATCAAGAACCTGCACCTGGAGCTCGGTTATGTCGACCCGACCGAGGGCGCGCACTTCCTCAAGCGAGTGGTACGCGGTATTTGCCGTTGCCATGGAGTAGCCGCTGTCCGCCCCCGGCTGCCAATCACGTTTCCTATTCTCTGCAGTCTGGTTGACACCTGCCTAGCTGCTCCAGCCATGTGCCCTCACGACAAGCGCTGCCTGCATGCCGCTATGCTTGCCGTGTTCTTTGGTTTCTTCAGATGCGGTGAACTGCTAGAAGCACCTACCACGCGCGGCTGTTTGACATTCGAGTCAGGGATGCTCCATGTGCACCTACCACGCTCGAAGACAGACCCGTCCGGGGAAGGTACGACGGTGCTGATCGGACCAGCGGTGCCGCCATACTGCGCTGTGAGAGCCATGCTCACCTACCTCACTGCAACCGCCTCTGCTCGTCCAGGCAGTGCTGTGTTCATCCTGGCCAACGGGCAACGCCTCAACCGCAGCACTTTTACAGCCCACGTACGCACGCTGCTTAGCACCAGCGGCGTGGCAAACTGGCAGGACTATGCAGGCCACAGCTTCCGTATCGGGGCCGCTACCACTGCTGCCCTTGCTGGCGTCCCCGACCACCAGATCCGCTCCGCGGGACGGTGGCGCAGTGATGCATGCCTACGCTACATCCGGACACCACCGTCATCGGCCCGAACGCTGGCCAGCAAACTATCCTCAGTAAGATCATCTCCCTGACACCGATGTTTCTCAATTCACACAATTCCCTCATAATGAACTAGGCTATGCTGCACTGCAATACTGTTGTGTATGGGTATGTACTGGCGGTATGGCGAGTCACTCATAACTGGTCTGCCTTTCTATTGCGGCATTATGGCCTTATGGTCCTGCCTTTCCATTGCGGCAATCACAGCCTCCGGGCTTCTGCCTTCCTGCGGCAATCACAGCCTCCGGGCTTCTGCCTTTCTGCGGCACTCGCAGCCTCACGGGCTCGTGCCTACCTTGCGGCAAAGACCAACCAGTTCCTCGTCACCAGTACTTACCCAACACAACCTAGCCTTATTCGTGTGGTGTATGCCTGTCTGCATGCCGTCTGTGTGCGCGGAATGCTAATGATGTATGCCTGCCTGCATGCCGTCTGCGTGCGCGGAATGCTAATGATGTATTCATGTAATGAATTCAGTTTAGCGTAGGCGCACATCTCGCAACTACGTATCTGCTGCGCTACAGCGCCCTCTACGGTTCTGGCCGCGGCACTTGTTTAGCGCGCCTTGCCGCGACCGGCAAGACCGCCTGCTGTGCATCACATTAATTTATGCGTACGCCATCACAATAATTAATTTAGTTTTGATCGGGTCCGAGTCCGCAACGTGGCACATCTCCTTGCCATTCTCAGTTTTGAGTCTTCTCTGCTTTGGCTCATGCCCGACTTGCATCCTGCTGCCTTTGTCTTTTGCTGACCCACCATCCCACCACTAACCATTAATACTACATTGCATCATTCCTACTTCAAGTACAATAAACCTGGTGGCGAGTCACTCATAACTGGTCTGCCTTTCTATTGCGGCATTATGGCCTTATGGTCCTGCCTTTCCATTGCGGCAATCACAGCCTCCGGGCTTCTGCCTTCCTGCGGCAATCACAGCCTCCGGGCTTCTGCCTTTCTGCGGCACTCGCAGCCTCACGGGCTCGTGCCTACCTTGCGGCAAAGACCAACCAGTTCCTCGTCACCAGTACTTACCCAACACAACCTAGCCTTATTCGTGTGGTGTATGCCTGTCTGCATGCCGTCTGTGTGCGCGGAATGCTAATGATGTATGCCTGCCTGCATGCCGTCTGCGTGCGCGGAATGCTAATCTCTATATTCACAATTGGTGCATACCACCGGCAAATCATAATGAAGGGCATCCTTTTCTATTTACCTGAACATTGCAGGGCAGCGCCACTCCACTCGCCCGTCTCCAGACACGTACGTTGGTAGTCACCTGTGCTTTGATTGAAGCCGGTATCACATTGGTACATGACACTGCTGTTATAGGTGGTGTTGGACTTCTGGACAACAGTTGTATGGTTGGTAGATAGAGGCTCTCCGCAGTCTAGTATCTGGCATTCAGGCACTGGATTAGACCATAGCCCACTAACTTGGCAGGTAGTTACATTAGCACCAAGTAGAATATACCCCGGTGAACAAGAGAATTGCTCTTCATGATCAACAGTTAGTTGGCCTGTGACGGGAGAATATGAAGTTTCGCTTCTGACTTCACCTGTTGTATTGAGAGTTGGACAGGTAATGATATAGCAGTTCTGATCCTCTACCGGCTCCCAGATTCCAGTCGCTTCACAAGTTATCTGTGATGGCCCAGTCATATTGAAACCACGGTTGCAGGAATAACTGACGGTTGTATTGAACACAAAGCTAAGATCCCCACTCACTGTTCCATTTGGTAGATGCCCAGGATGGCCACATGAAATCACTGCAGACGATAGACAGGCAGAATCATTTCGAAAAGCTGTGATCACGATCTTGAGGACCATTCCAATGCTAACATGTCTAATTTAGTGATGCAGCGAATTGTGTTTTATTTGTACCAGTATTCTCTGGAATATGGCTTTGACGAACGAACGCATATTCTATATTCTTCTGGTGTGTTTTAATCACTTCATTCAATCAGACCCAACATTCATGTTGCATACAGATCACATTGATAGCCAATAACCACTGGGCAAAGAGCAGATTTTACCTAAGAACAAGCTTCAAAGTTCTCAGAACATAATTTCAAAAGGCTACTACGCTATCATCCTCAACACTGTTCACTGGTCAAAGTTGGAGCTAAATAACACAACCAAAAAGTGCGAATTTTTTGAATTATCGAATATCGAATGTTGCTGCCTGCATTCGCATATTCCTTCTGGTGTCGGTATTCTAGAACTATTTGAATAATTCGAATACTCCTTGCATCACTAATGTCTATACATGTTTTTTTTAGTTACAGTCGACTCCTGGTAGAATGAACCAATGTGGAGGAGAATTAGTTCTTTTTAGCCGAAGTTTGCTCTAACAGAAATGCACTCGAACTTTACAAGCGGCAAGTCATGACTTTCATGCGACCCATGGCTGTATGAGAGCACTTGGTTCACAATCGGCCATTTAAGATACGAGCCTGGATCAGCAAAAACCATCACATGTGCAAAATTTTCAAAAATAGTTTTGTGCTCCAAATTGATCCACAACCACTGATAACCAGTCTCAAGAAATTTTAGATCAATCACAGCACGGTAAGTGACCAAAAAATGCAGTACACCACATCTCTGTACAAATGTTGGAAGTGGCATTTCTGTGTATGATACAGATATGAGCGTTGGTATGTGTCTGATCCTGTTAGGCATTGCCATCACTCCGCCGGCTAACAAGGAGGAATTTTATAGTCCTTGGGGGTGTACTCAGACACTGGCTTGTCAAAGTGAATCATTGGCTTCACTGACCATCGCGCAGCTAACGGCATATGGCCAAGTTCCAGGGGCTGATATTGCATCGACACCAGGCTCAGTACTGATGCTCTCCAAGCCCTTCACTTCCATGAAAACATATCTGCACACACGGAGTGCAATCATAGTAGCTGTGACTTCATAGCACACAGGCGCATGAGCATGAGGTACGTACTAGGTGCAGATACATTCAACGGTTACCTGACAATACAGGAACATATTTTTGAATTTTTTTGGGAGCTGCTGCATGGACCAAATAAATGTTTCAAGTTGCTCAGCGTCCAAGCCAACGAAGCAGATCTTGTCTGGCGCTAGCACTCGTGGCTCTTCCAGTCATGAATCGAGACGCCTTTGCTCTGCATCGTCACTGTCGATATCCGACAAACTTACTAGTGAAGGAGTCGTTCATCCCTCAACAATATCCACTCGAGTCGTCGTAATTCTCATCAGCTCTGCTTTCTTCTACACGAAGTCTGGAGCCTCGCCGAGTCGCTTTGCGGCAGGAGAGAGTCGTCCTCTGGAGCTCCGCGGCTTTCACCTGACTCCCTTGATGAGCAATCGCCATCCCAGTCATCACCAAAAAGTGTCGTGTCGTGATTGGCGTCAACGACAGTCGATGCGCGTGCGATGCTCGCGCCCCTCAATCGTACCTATTCGCCAGCCAAGCTAAGGTACGTGGGGTTTCCCAGCCGTGTCTCCTCACTTGCCTGGGGCTTGCCTAGCTAGCTAGTCACTGACAAATAAACAAACACGGGCTTGTCAGGCGGAAAGAAAGACTAGTGACAAGAAAGACAGAAAGATGATGGATAGTTGTTAGGTCCGCGACTTTTCTTTCGCTCGACTTCAACGTCACTTTTTGATCAACTTGATATCAACCACAAGCGATGGTTTTCGCTGATCCGGGCTCATATGGTTCGTTGCAAAGGGTCAATTTTGTCTGGGTTCAAACAGGGACATGAACAACGGTTCGCCATAATAGACCAATCCCGAAAAGATTGTCTGGGTTCGTGAAAGGGGGCTTTGGCGGGGCACTGGCTTGGCGAAAAGGATATCTTCTTGTGCAATATAACATTGATCGGCTGCAGATGAGTACAGTCACTCCGTGGTTGATCCTATAGGAGGGCAGCTGCCAGGAAAGAGGCAGGACTCATCGAAGACGAAGCGCTCGCAACAAACAATAGCACTCGAAATATCTCGCAAGATTTAGGGCCTATCGCTTTGAGCCACAGCGCTCACAGCCTTGCCTACTTCATCAAAGTGAGCTCTACATGTTCGTTGACCTCTTCACACTACTCAGAAGAGCGAAACAAGGATTATGTCTTAGCATTTCTACTCCAACAGCAGACCATCACCAGTGCGAGAGAGAAAACTACAAAGGGCTTTGCTTTCTGTCGCATCGTCTCTCTTGCATGCAACTAACGAGAAAACCGTGTACTTACCCTCGCAGTCACACGCGAACTATCAAACACGTCCTGTGCCGCATGCTGATCAGGTAGTGCCATGTATGTGTTGTACAGTGTACTCTCAGTTGACATGCCCCCTTTCGAATCCAGACAATCTTTTCGGGATTGGTCTATTATCATGAAATTCGCTACCTGAGTGTTCATTATAAGAGGATTAGACTGTTTATCCATTTATCTGAGGGCATGGTGGAACATCCAAAGTTCCTAACTCCCAAAGAGGAGCATACCTAGATGATTGATATGATTTAGCAAATATTGGTAAACATCTATATTATTGGACGCGGATGGAGAGCCAAGGATAAATTTACAGAAAAGAAAGGACCACGGAACAACAAGTTACGCTCTAAAATGTCCACTAACACCACCAGCAGCTACTGAACAATCAGCTCATGCGACAACCTTGCACGACACTGACCGCCGGTACTGACGTTCTATAACTATCTGGCTATCAGCTCTAGCACATCTTGGATGTGAACTCCAACAGTTGTAGGTCCGTGGCCCATTTCTTTTTTATAAATCTCTATTTTACAATTGGTACACACAACCAACAACAAAAATTGGAGGGGTACCTTGTTCCATTTACCTGAACATTGCAGGGCAGAACCACTCCACTCTCCTGTCTCCAGACACGTGCGTTGATAGTCACCTGTGCTTTGATTGAAGCCGGTATCACATTGGTACATGACACTGCTGTTATAGGTGGTGTTCGACTTCTGAATAACAGTTGAATGGTTGGTAGATAGAGGCTCTCCGCAGTCTAGTATCTGGCATTTAGGCACTGGATTGGACCATTGTCCACTAACTTGGCAGGTAGTTACATTAGCACCAAGTAGAATATACCCCGGTGAACAAGAGAATTGCTCTTCATGATCAACAGTTAGTTGGCCTGTGACGGGAGAATATGAAGTGTTGCTTCTGACTTCACCTGTTGTACTGAGAGTTGGACAAGTAATGATATAGCAGTTCTGCTCCTCTACCGGCTCCCAGATTCCGGTCTCTCCACAAGTTATCTGTGATGGCCCAGTCATTGTGAAGCTACGGTTGCAGGAGTAACTGACGGTTGTATTGAACACAAAGCTAAGATCACCACTGACTGTTCCATTTGGTAGATGCCCAGGATGGCCACATGAAATAACTGCAGATGGTAGACAGGCAGAATCATTTCGAAAACCTGCGATTACCATCTTGAGGATCACGCCAATGCTAACATGTCCACATATAGGTTTTGTTTTAGTTACAGTCGACTCCTAATATAACGAATGCCATTTTGCAGGAGAATTTGTTCTTTGCAACCAAAGTTTGCTCCGACAGGAATGCACTCATACTTTACAAGCAGCAGGTCACGACTGTCATGCGGCCCATGACTGTATGAGTGGACTTGGTCTACATACGGCCCTTCAAGATACGGTTTGTTATAATGAAAACCTTTCGCTATAAAGGGTCAAGTGGATATGGGTTCAAACAGGGACACAAATAATGGTTCCCATTATCACAAAATCGCTATATGCAAGATCATTATAAGTGGAGTCGACTGTATATCCATTTATCTGAGGGCATGATGGAACATCATAAGTTCCTAACTCCCAAAGAGAAGCAAGCATACATGAGATTGATGTGGTTGTGCAAGTGCAGGTCAACATCTTCATTATTAGTACTATTTTTCGTTGGCTGAGCGGAGCGAATGAAACGAAAAATGTTTTTTTTGCCAGCATTTTCACCATAGTTACGGCACCAGGATTGCGTCAGCTGGTTTTTGTCAGTGTTCTCAAACCTTTCTCTTCGTCGTGGTCTTTCTCTTTTCGTTGTAGTTTCCCACCCGCCCGCCCCTTTATTCTCACTTCTGGATAGGTCCTGCAGGCTACGTTTTGTTCATTTATCTTATGGGGTTATTCTAACCGGTTTTTCCTCAGGGTTGTGCATCCGCCGGGGTCCTGAGGTTTTTTTCCGCCGGCTTCGGGCTGGTTAATTATCCGGCGACCCCATTCACCACAGTGGTTCACTTTTTGCATCATGTTGGTCTGGTACATACGTGTACATGTATATGTGTGAGGTGGCATGCCCTTCTTCTTGCTCATGTATACACTACGCTAAGCTTTTCCATCTTCCACTGTGAGTGAACAAAGACCACACTACTACTGTGATCTGTATCTTTCTGTTGTGTGTGGGTGTGTCTGCGGTGTACGCAGAGGCCAGTTAGCTGGCAAAAATTGTTATTACAATTGGTGCACACAACTGACTACAAATATTGGAGGTGTATCTTGTTCCATTTACCTGAACATTGCAGAGTGGAACCACTCCACTCTCCTGTCTCCAGACACGTGCGTTGATAGTCACCTGTGCTTTGATTGAAGCCAGTATCACATTGGTACATGACACTGCTGTTATAGGTGGTGCTGGACTTCTGGACAACAGTTGAATGGTTGGTAGATAGAGGCTCACCGCAGTCTAGTGTCTGGCATTTAGGCACTGGATTGGACCATTGTCCACTAACCTGGCAGGTAGTTGCATTAGCACCAAGTAGAATGTACCCCGGTGAACAAGAGAATTGCTCTTCATGGTCCACAGTTAGTTCGCCCAAGTCAGGAGAATATGAAGTGTTGCTTCTGACTTCACCTGTTGTACTGAGAGTTGGACAAGTAATGATATAGCAGTTCTGCTCCTCTACCGGCTCCCAGATTCCGCTCGCTGCACAAGTTACCTGTGATGGCCCAGTCATATTGAAACCACGGTTGCAGGAGTAACTGACGGTTGCGTTGAACACAAAGCTAAGATCACCACTGACTGTTCCATTTGGTAGATGCCCAGGATGGCCACATGAAATAACTGCAGATGGTAGACAGGCAGAATCATTTCGAAAACCTGCGATTACCATCTTGAGGATCACGCCAATGCTAACATGTCCATATATATGTTTTGTTTTAGTTACAGTCGACTCCTAATATAATGAATGCCATTTTTCTGGAGAATTAGTTATTTTTTAACCGAAGTTTGCTCTAACAGGAATGCACTCACACTATACAAGCAGCAGGTCACGACTGTCATGCGGCCCATGACTGTATGAGTGGACTTGGCGACTTGGTCTACATGCGGCCCTTCAAGATACGGTTTGTTATAATGAAAAACGTTTCGCTTTAAATGGTCAAGTTGGTATTGGTTCAAACAGGGACACAAATAATGGTTCCCATTATCACAAAATCGCTATATGCAAGATCATTATAAGTGGAGTCGACTGTATATCCATTTATCTGAGGGCATGATGGAACATCATAAGTTCCTAACTCCCAAAGAGAAGCAAGCATACATGAGATTGATGTGGTTGTGCAAGTGCAGGTCAACATCTTCATTATTAGTGCTATTTTTCGTTGGCTGAGCGGAGCGAATGAAACGGAAAATGTATTTTTTGCCAGCATTTTCACCATAGTTACGGCACCAGGATTGCGTCAGCTGGTTTTTTGTCAGTGTTCTCAAACCTTTCTCTTCGTCGTGGTCTTTCTCTTTTCGCTGTAGTTTCCCACCCACCCTCCCCTTTATTCTCACTTCTGGATAGGTCCTGCAGGCTACGTTTGTTCATTTATCTTATGGGGTTATTCTAACCGGTTTTTCCTCAGGGTTGTGCATCCGCCGGGGTCCTGAGGTTTTTTTCCGCCGGCTTCGGGCTGGTTAATTATCCGGCGGCCCCATTCACCACAGTGGTTCACTTTTTGCATCATGTTGGTCTGGTACATACGTGTACCTCCTCCGCGTCATCGAAATTGTCGCAGTTTGACTTTTGATATAAAACGGGGTATTTACTCACCAGCACTCCTACCAGAGGCAAGGAATCGGACATAGGCGATAGTCATCAGTATAGGGTGACGGCAAAGTTCTATTTTCTGTTATTGGAAGCTGAAATTTTGAACTAGACGCAATTTCTTCGCTGATGTCGCTGCGATGGTAATTTCAACTCGCTGAAATCAGTCAGGCGTTGCAGCCTGCACATTTCTCGTGCTTATGGCACTCAAGCCTCATCACTGTTTTACCTTAGCTGGGGTGAGAATGACTTCGTGGAACAGGTGGCAGCGCTTGGTGAGACATCGAGGGGTCAGCAAACTATTACACTCAACAGCGATAAAATTTGTCGCTCTGGCTGAGACACTCAGTACATGATTGTACATGTACCTGCAGGAGCCGTGTAGACTCTACACGTAGTGCTAGTGATGCACGCGCAGATGCAGTACCAGCAAGAGTACATAACCCCCCAGAGTGTGCAACGCCTGATCCAGCTCTGTGTAGGGTCTTGGTCGGGCGGAATCGGATCTTTGCGTCATAATACCGTACACATCTGAGGGGAACCCGGGGAGTCGCGGGTACTCTTGGATCAAAAACAATGGTGCCCTGCCTCGAGACCGGCCTTGCGCTGGTGTGAAGTGTACGCATGACATCAGAAGATCCGATTCCGCTCGACCAAGACCCTACACAGAGCTGGATCAGGCGTTGCACATGCTGGGGGGTTATGTACTCTTGGTACCAGTGATGCTGAAAAAGAGGGAGCGCTGGACGTGATAGAAGTATTAGAACACTTACCTGCATGAGCTGTGACCACACAGCTAAAATATATGGTCATGCCACGGCTAAAAAAATGTTCATTTCAAGATCGAGCTGATTCCGCCGACGGTAATCAACCGACCGCGCAACGATCGTGTATTCTTACTAGGCTTCATTGGTGGTGAAGTAGAAATCATCCAGAGCTATCAGACGACAAGCATAGCAGCTCTTGTCCTGTGGAGAAAGTCAAAGCGTTTGAGATGAGGCGCGACCGACTTTCAACATTCCTTGAAATATTTCGGAACGATATTTTTGCGTCCATTGACATCAGCGACGACGAGGACTTCATCTCTGCATGAAAACTTTCAATCCAACTGTCCTGGAACGTTACTCTTGTGTTCAGACTATCATCCTGTGTAATAATTTTTGAATGGTTTAGCTTATGGAGTTTTCAGTAACAAGTGACAAGTCACTGGTCAAACTGCGACAATTTCGATGACGCGGAGGAAGTACATGTATATGTGTGAGGTGGCATGCCCTTCTTCTTGCTCATGTATACACTACGCTAAGCTTTTCCATCTTCCACTGTGAGTGAACAAAGACCACACTACTACTGTGATCTGTATCTTTCTGTTGTGTGTGGGTGTGTCTGCGGTGTACGCAGAGGCCAGTTAGCTGGCAAAAATTGTTATTACAATTGGTGCACACAACTGACCACAAATATTGGAGGGGTATCTTGTTCCATTTACCTGAACATTCCAGAGCGGAACCACTCCACTCTCCTGTCTCCAGACACGTGCGTTGATAGTCACCTGTGCTTTGATCGAAGCCGGTATCACATTGGTACATGACACTGCTGTTATAGGTGGTGGTGGACTTCTGGACAACAGTCGTATGGTTGGTAGATAGAGGCTCTCCGCAGTCTAGTGTCTGGCATTTAGGCACTGGATTGGACCATTGTCCACTAACCTGGCAGGTAGTTGCATTAGCACCAAGTAGAATGTACCCCGGTGAACAAGAGAATTGCTCTTCATGGTCCACAGTTAGTTCGCCCAAGTCAGGAGAATATGAAGTGTTGCTTCTGACTTCACCTGTTGTACTGAGAGTTGGACAAGTAATGATATAGCAGTTCTGCTTCTCTACCGGCTCCCAGATTCCGCTCGCTGCACAAGTTATCTGTGATGGCCCAGTCATATTGAAACCACGGTTGCAGGAGTAACTGACGGTGGTATTGAACACAAAGCTAAGCTCACCACTGACTGTTCCATTTGGTAGATACCCAGGATGGCCACATGAAATAACTGCAGACGACAGGCAGGCAAAAGCAATTTTAAAAGCTGAGATTACGCTCTTGAGGATAATGCTCACATTTGCTTTTCTACACATGAATATTTCTTTTTCAGTCAACACTATTTGATATGCGGGCGCGATGGAAAGCACTAACACCTTAGGAGCAGCATACATGAGATTGACATGGGTGCGCCAGTGTAGGTCAACATCTTTTACAATCGGTGCACACATGTAGATGTTAGCAAGAGTGCGCCCGACTGGTCGAAGAGAGAAGAAGCTTTGTTTCAACAGCAGCAGCAGCACCCGTCATCGGCAGCAGCAACAGCAGCACCAACACCACCAGCAGCATACACAGTTGTTGGTTTTGGTGCTGTATTTCTTTGTTGTCACAGTAGTAATTGAGGTTTTTCTATGATCATACTGACATGTAAAGTGGCAGCAAATCTCCTCTGTTAGCTTGTACCATAAAAAGTACACCTGCTTTACAAATTACTCCCTCAGCTGGTTCAGTTCTAGGTGCCTGCGGCATACTTTTTGCGTCTCATATGAAGCACAGAATGATAGCAATCATATTGGAAGAAGGCGTGCACAGACATGGTAAGATTTGGCTGACTGAGTGTGTTTGCAAGATGGACATTGCTAATGCTGCATACAGATGCATGACTTACCATCGCAATGCAAAGGACTACCGCTCCAATCTCCAGTCGGCAAGCATGTCCTTTGTGTATCACCTTGACTGATGTTGAATCCAATCATACATGCAAATGATCCAGTGCTGTTGAACAGTGTACTTGAGACACCAGTGAGTATAGAGTTATTACCAGTTGATGGCATACCACAGTCTACAATACTGCACTTTGGAATTGGAGAAGACCAATTTCCGGTGGCATTACATTTGGTTACACTGGACCCATTTACCTCATAGCCAATATTGCAGTAGAAGTTGATCTCATGATCGTACCGGTTAAGCCCAGTTATATTTGTTTGGTTGAAGGAGCCATTTGGTAGGTCTATAGGACCCAGGGCGGAACAATTGATGGCTGAACAAGTTGGTGGAATTGCTGGAGTCCAAGTACCATTGCTGTTACATGTTAGATTCCCTGGTCCTATTAGGTTGTATCCAGGAGAGCAGTAGTATGTGACCGTAGAGTTGATGTGAAATTTACCACCTGTTTTGTTGCTGGTCCGTATTACGGCATGAAAAAGGGTGTTGGTGGTGTTTGGGTATGAAAATTGAGGGTGACCACATTCTAGACAAAACAAAGAGAACATGCAGGGAATTCATAGTTAATTAGGGGTGTCGGAAGGTGCTTTAGTGTGGTACGGTCAGCCATCTAAAGTACAATTTACTCGTGGGGGAGGGGTTGATGAACTGAAAAATTTGGAAATTTAGAACCCAGATCAGTGTATTATATTGATTCATGGGTAGCTGGGGCAAAAAGTGGTCAATACCGTAGTGACTGTAGCATATCCGATGCCCCTGCTTATACGTATAGGATATAGACCAAAGTCGAGGTCAATATCCTATATATCACGATTGCTTTGCCATAACCCCAAATTTGATCCTTTAGGAGCTATTTTAGCTTTTTATTACATCATTTGTACAATAGTGTACATATGATGTTGCCTGTCTTGGGTACAAGACTGTAAGAACAACAAGGTTCAGCATAGTGCAGCACAGTGGCTGGGTGGTATGAGGGGTTGCTTGAGATCCATACTGTTGCGGATTCGAATCCTGCTTGTTCTCTTCCTCTGTCTTCTTTCTTTCAAATTTTCACCAAACCAGGCTTCCCCGTGCTGCAAACAGCTTCCTTCACATTGTCAACACACTGAAGTACATAATTATACATGTACCTGTCTTGTGAACCTGCCATGTGTTAAGGTGTATAAAAACACCCAAAAGTACATAGCATGCAAGGCTGGCTCTGTTGGGACCTGCTGAAAAGTCCGTCATACACAAGTTGTACATCTTATCAGAGTATGTCGTATCCGTACACATTTGCGCATATGGGAGGAAAATCTGTGCAACGAAAAAGGACCATACTAAGCAAGTGTACGTCTTACGTACTAAGTGAGTTCAGAGCTCTTCAGGAAACTCACACTTTTATATCTGCCAAGAAACAATGGAATCATTAAAGTAAAAGTAAATTATCGTGTCCGTTCCCGAAGGGAACTCACGACGGCCGCTAACACCCGGTAAACCCTAGCGGCAGATGCAGCGCCTAACGGTGGGGATGAGTGGATAAGTCTCACAACCACTGGCACAAGTGCCGAGATCGACCCCATTAGCTGCATCAATGTACCCATTGTGTCTGGCCACAAGTTCCCAGTAAGTTCCCAGTTGACTGTGGGTAATGGAATCATTACTAGAACATAATCTACAAGTGGGTTTCCTAACCAGATATGGAGCTAGATTTCCATGAGTTCTTTGACACCAGAGACTTGCTGGCCAGTAACCTGAGCTGGGGCACTGGACTCTATTTGTAGTTTGGGTGAACCCAAACATTTCCCCTTAGCCCAACCCGAGAATTGCAACATTATATACTTCTGTCTTGTTACCCAACCAGATATGTGAGTGAACAGTGAATACAACCTAGCCTATCCCCAGCTGCCTAAAACAGGATGAAAGTGGGCTGGTGCCCTGTTTACAAATTTGTCCATCAAGCATCCTTCTATACATGTTTAGGAGTATACAGTATACTTCGACCCTATGGGCTTGAACCTTGCTTGTTCACACAGTTTCTTTTTTCCCTTTCCAATATGGTTTTAACAGGAGTGACCTGTTGTGGAACACAATTGCGGAAGGCTAATGCAACATCCCTTTTGAAGCAACCAAGTCAACTGCAGAGATACATAGTCTTTCATAGCCAGCAATCGCATGTCATCACGTACATTCAAAATCAACATAATTATGCTAATCGACCTTTTTTTCAGGATCACTTTTCAACGAGGACGAAGCAAAGGCGGCCGAACGAAGCCCAGAGGAAGAAAATCACCCTCTCCACTTCACCATCACGATACTGACATAGATACGAGACGAAACAACTAAAAAATCCACAAGAAAACTTTACAGTCATCTTCACGCTGACTTTGGTCTGAGAATTTCTATCACGATCAAAATTGTACGAGGAGCACTCAAAATACGCTACAGACGTACCTTTATCACTCTCTACTCCTTTTTCAAGGCACAAAAGTCGACTCTCCACTTTCAAACCAGGAACCAGACATACCAGTGGTCGTCAGGGGCGTCACCCGTGATGGGCACGGGGGGCACGTGCACCCCCCTAAAAAATTCGACCTTGTTTTTTTGCGAACTCCTGGTTTTGAAAAGTGTAGTGCTGGTAGAATCTAGCTGATTCTGAGCTGATCTAGTCATCTCCCACCGCTTTAGGAGCTGCGTCTGCGCCTTGATAATTGAAGGGTGGTGGCGTTCCTACGGCCGGGGTACGGATGCGGAAAGCCCGGCTTCCAGCCGAGTCTCACGCGAACCATGACAGTTTTTAAATAATAATTACTACGCACGTACGCGTGCACGTGTGCGCAGCGCTGCATCATTTGGCCTTGTACTAGAATCTACACGCGCGGCGGCGTGCTGGGTGCTTGTTTGAAACAGAAGAAATAAATAATTCAGTGTGGTCGCAAGTAAGTTAGTCAGGTCACCACACTTGAAGAGTCTTTGAAGCTGTTTCCTCTCAAAATGTCGTCTTCTCGAAAAAGGAACCTCTTGCCAGCTCACTATCAGCGAACTTTTTCGTGTTTTCCTGTGCAAACTTTTTCCTGTGCAACATTCCTTTGCACCCCCTGTGAAGGGGTCCGGTGATGCTCCTGGTCCTTTTCAGCTGCTCCACGAGCGCAGGAAATGTTCACCAAGGGGCGCAGAGCAGCCTCCATTCCAGAAAAAGAGATAAACATGGCCAGCAATCGAGGACATCTGAGAGTTGTAATTTTTGTACTCCTCCGAGGTGTGATTTTTGGCGTGCTGGGCCAAGCACAAGGAAGCCATCTGCAAAAAAACTGCAGAAAATGGTTGTTGTTTGATCCTTTGGTGTAATCTTTGTTTCTAGTCGAAGCTAGTTGCTGTTTGGAGCAGAAACGCTGAAATTGACTATTTTCTGCATGTACTCATACATGTACTCATGTACTCAGGCATGCAGTCTCACTCGTATTTTAGCTCTTTTTCTGGAATGGATGCTGCTCTGCGCCCCTTGGTGAACATTTCCTGCGCTCGTGGAGCAGCTGAAAAGGACCACTGGTATGTCTGGTTCCTGGTTTGAAAGTGGAGAGTCGACTTTTCTGCCTTGAAAAAGGAGTAGAGAGCGATAAAGGTACGTCTGTGGCTGATTTTTGAGTGCTCCTCGTACATTTTTGATCGTGATAGAAATTCTCAGACCAAAGTCAGACCAAAGTCAGCGCGATGATGGTCGTACAGTTTTCTTGTGGATTTTTTAGTTGTTTCATCTCGTATCTATGTCAGTATCGTGATGGTGAAGTGGAGAGGGTGATTTTCTTCCTCTCGGCTTCGTTCGGCCGACTTTGCTTCGTCCTCGTTGAAAAGTGATCCTGAAAAAAAGGTCGATTCGCAAAATTATGTTGATTTTCAATGTACGAGATGACATGCGATTGCTGGCTATGATACGAGTGAGACTGCATGCCTGAGTACATGAGTACATGCATGAGTACATGCAGAAAATAGTCAATTTCAGCGTTTCTACTCCAAACAGCAACTTCCTTCGACTAGCTACAAAGTTTACACCAAAGGATCAAACAATCATTTTCTTCATTTTTTTGGCAGATGGCTTCCTTGTGCTTGGCCCAGCACGCCAAAAATCACACCTCAGAGGAGTACAAAAATTACAACTCTCAGATGTCCTCGATTGCTGGCCATGTCTATTTGTGGACAATTGTACACTTCGTTTCATGAAATAACAGAGTTCGTACATACAAGTGGAAAAGGCTCTAATTTACGAAGGCACTGCACCCCAAGATACAGGACCCCCATTTTCACAGATTTTTCTTCAGCACAAGTAGAGGAAGCTACGTGCCAAATTTGAGAGGTGTCTATGGTAAAATGAAACAGAACTGACCAAGCAGCCTTTTTTTCACACAGGCACATCTACTACCTCCGACAAGCGAAACTTGGCGCGTTTTTTTACTTCAAATTGCTCGAAATAAATCACACTTTTCAATCAAAACTAATGATTGACTCGCCAAATTTCAACTTTGTATTGCTCAACAAGGACATTAGAGACATCTGTTAGGCTGAACAACTCTCCTCTGATTCAGAGATCGCAGTTTCTTCTGGAGAGGAATTGTCCCTGTTTTGAGACGAAAGTGCGACTAGAGCGGATTCAGTTGCAGCAAGTACCTCTGTTGTAATCGCTCTGAAAATCTCGATGTCGCTCCTGTGTGCTGTGCTCGAGCCACGGTGTCGCGGGTAGTCGTTTCCGCCGCCACTATCCAGATTGATGTGGTAAGAACTGTGCAACACCTCCACAAGCGCCTGAACTCCAACTGTTTTGCAGGGTGTTCTCGCCAACTGTCCAAAATTGCCTGCAGCAATAATGAATTCCTGGCGATTTTTATTAGCCACCAGAGACGCATCGCTCTGGTGGCTGTTGAAAGACGCTAGGATTGTTTGGCATGGACTCTGTGCTGGCGGAGTGACCAAGAGGAGAGAGAGAGAGAACTCCTTGGTTTTGCATTGCAACGCGAAAGCACGACAATTCTCCTTCGCAGAATGGAGGCGCGCACAGTTTTGCTGGTACACGAGAGATACGCTTGCCTCTGACTCACTGATATGAGTCTGCGCCATGTGCCACTCACCAGCTCGTCGCTTGGCTTCCTGCACCTTGGTTGCATGGAGTTACTTGTACAAGTAGGTCGTACCTCACAGCCTTGTGAAGTAGTTTTGGTACCAACACAAAAATCCAAAAAAACGCGCCAAGTTTCGCTTGTTGGAGGTAGTATATTTATCATCCGGAGGGGGGGGGGGGGGACATCACATGATTTCAATCATCATGTGCTCTGATCCTTTCAGTGTCGGCGTAACTAATTAACGGTACGTGTGTGTGTGTGTTTTGGACTAGCCCTTACCGCTGATACTTGATTCACCCAGGCTGTCTGTTGTAGCTGACACACTTGTTGGCACTGTGGGCAGTGCACTTGCTTTTGACACAACCGGCAGTGTGATGGCTGAAGTAGATGACGCTAGAAATAACAACGAAAAGAGTAATGAAGTAATTACATTGGCCACATCACTACACTATCTCAAAGTGACGGTGGATAAAATGTCAATGCTATGGATGCAAATGGCTACACCTTATGTTCATAATGTATGCGCCATTGGTGTAGGAAGTGGAGATGGTGCTTGTGGGGGGGGGGGGCTTGATTTACACAGTCTTTCAAGCACAGAGAACAGAAGTTGAAAGGGAGCATGGCTCCTAGCAGAGCAGACTCAGTGCTGACGTCATAATCAGAGGTAGAGAAAGTGGGCACATATGCAGTACAACTGTTTTTTATGTGTTTTTTACAGCCGTACATCGTCATGGGAGGTTTGCAAGCACCAGTCCATACAATATATGGTCGGTGATGCGCAGGATGTTGGCACAGTAAGAACAGACACAAAACAAGTGGCCGCCATGTGCTTTGAAAATGGCATTGTTGGTGTTGGTCTGTTGGAACAATGTTGTCTATGGAAAAAGAAGCAAACCTACTTATCCCCTAACGATGTCTGGTTTCTACATCCCATGCTATCCTTATGCTTGTATCTACCACCCAGTGACAGGTCCAAGTGGCAGATGGGGCACCTAGCTGATGGAGCTGAAAGGACTGGATCCACAACACATGGCACAAGTACCGAACCCCACTTTTTTTGCATCCACACCCATAGTGCTGGATTAATCTCTTATGGTCTCTCACCTCTTGCTTGAAACATATAATGCTTCAAGCAAGAGGTGAAAGACCTCTCTATGTTATTCTTTTCCAACCATTGTAAAAACAAATCAGTCGGCTCTCATTCAGGATCAGGTATAAAGTTAAGCTTGTGCTTTCGTTGTCGATGGTATAGCAGATACACTGATTCATGATCCATTACTGCACACAATGGGTCAATATCTTTAAAGGTTTGAACCTGGGTTATATCTGCATAAGATAATTGTGCATTTACTTACAAAAATTTGCCTCCCCCAGGTCTTCTGTGGTGGCACTAACTGGCAAAGTAGTTCTTGGTGTGGTAGGTGGTGTAGCAGCTGCCGGTACACTGGTCGGTGGAGTAGTTGTCGGCACATTCGTCGGTGGAGCAGCTGTCGGTACACTGGTCGGTGTAGCAGCTGTTGGTACACTGGTCGGTACAGCAGTTGCTGGTACATTGGTCGTTGCAGCAGTTGCTGGTACATTGGTCATTGCAGCAGTTGCTGGTACATTGGTCGGTGCAGCAGTTGTTGGTGCAGTGATCGATGCAGTAGATGCTGGTACTGTTAGCAGTTCACTTGTTTTTGGTATAAGAGAAGTTGCTATGATAGCAGAACTAGGTTGTGACCCTAAAACCAACAAAGAAGTTAGCATAAGTAGACGTTACATTTAACCACTATATCCCAAAGTAGCAATGGGTGAAGCATCAACGCTACGGTATCCCAACCAGCTATACCTACTAATGATCATAATGCAGGCCCCACTGGTGTAGGACGTTGATGGGAGGGGTAATGGGCTCGATGAATGAACCAGGTCCTATACATCCATGGCATATCGGATCTTGTACATACATATGCATGATTGTACTTCCATGTACTCATATTGACAGGCGTGGAGCATAGAATACTTTCGTGCAGGCAAAGAACACCTCACTCAAGTGCATGCAGGCATCTTGCACTGTCACTTGTCACTTCTATTTGACTGGATACACTTGCTTCAGAGCGCACTTCAACCTTAATGCAGTCATCCCTGCAAGTCAAGATGGCACTTTTGGCTGGTCAGTTTGGTTGCTGTGTGCAGGTCCAACAGGGCACCTGGTGCACTAAAAGTCGGTCGCTGGTCGCACAAGGCACGTGATCGCTGTACCCAGTGCAGTTTCTGTGTAGAACTGTACTTGCAGGGAAAAAAATGGTTGTTAAAAGCAGGTGGTCACTAAAACCAGAGGTCGCCTATACCAGGTTATATTGTATACTTACCGGAACTTGCCTCTTCCAAGTCTTCTGTGGTGGCATTTGCTGGAAGATTAGTTCTTGGTGCAGTAGTCGGTGCAGCAGTCGTTGGCACCCTGGTCAATGCAGCCGTTCCTGGCATAAAAAGTGTTGGCCTGATGGCTGAAGTGGGCTGTGATGCTACAATGGCAAATGAGAGTGAGCACTATTTATTTACAAGTACACCAATTGTGCTACGTAAGATCAGCTGGATTAGGGAGGGTGCTGGGTTAGGGAGGGTGCTGGGTTACCAAATTTGATTTGCTGCTGCAAAGTGCACGAAGAGGAACATTTTGCTACTGAAAATTATGCAGGTTTGTTGAGGCTGCTGGCTTACAATGTGCTGGCTTACAATGTGCTGGCTTACAATGTGCTGGCTTACAATGTGCTGGCTTACAATGTGCTGGCTTACAATGTGCTGGCTTACAATGTGCTGGCTTACAATGTGCTGGCTTACAATGTGCTGGCTTACAATGTGCTGGCTTACAATGTGCTGGCTTACAATGTGCTGGCTTACAATGTGCTGGATAACAATGTGCTGGCTTACAATGTGCTGGCTTACAATGTGCTGGATAACAATGTGCTGGCTTACAATGTGCTGGCTTACAATGTGCTGGCTTACAATGTGCTGGCTTACAATGTGCTGGCTTACAATGTGCTGGCTTACAATGTGCTGGCTTACAATGTGCTGGCTTACAATGTGCTGGATAACAATGTGCTGGCTTACAATGTGCTGGCTTACAATGTGCTGGCTTACAATGTGCTGGCTTACAATGTGCTGGCTTACAATGTGCTGGCTTACAATGTGCTGGCTTACAATGTGCTGGCTTACAATGTGCTGGCTTACAATGTGCTGGCTTACAATGTGCTGGCTTACAATGTGCTGGCTTACAATGTGCTGGCTTACAATGTGCTGGCTTACAATGTGCTGGCTTACAATGTGCTGGCTTACAATGTGCTGGCTTACAATGTGCTGGCTTACAATGTGCTGGCTTACAATGTGCTGGCTTACAATGTGCTGGCTTACAATGTGCTGGCTTACAATGTGCTGGCTTACAATGTGCTGGCTTACAATGTGCTGGCTTACAATGTGCTGGCTTACAATGTGCTGGCTTACAATGTGCTGGCTTACAATGTGCTGGCTTACAATGTGCTGGCTTACAATGTGCTGGCTTACAATGTGCTGGCTTACAATGTGCTGGCTTACAATGTGCTGGCTTACAATGTGCTGGCTTACAATGTGCTGGCTTACAATGTGCTGGCTTACAATGTGCTGGCTTACAATGTGCTGGCTTACAATGTGCTGGCTTACAATGTGCTGGCTTACAATGTGCTGGCTTACAATGTGCTGGCTTACAATGTGCTGGCTTACAATGTGCTGGCTTACAATGTGCTGGCTTACAATGTGCTGGCTTACAATGTGCTGGCTTACAATGTGCTGGCTTACAATGTGCTGGCTTACAATGTGCTGGCTTACAATGTGCTGGCTTACAATGTGCTGGCTTACAATGTGCTGGCTTACAATGTGCTGGCTTACAATGTGCTGGCTTACAATGTGCTGGCTTACAATGTGCTGGCTTACAATGTGCTGGCTTACAATGTGCTGGCTTACAATGTGCTGGCTTACAATGTGCTGGCTTACAATGTGCTGGCTTACAATGTGCTGGCTTACAATGTGCTGGCTTACAATGTGCTGGCTTACAATGTGCTGGCTTACAATGTGCTGGCTTACAATGTGCTGGCTTACAATGTGCTGGCTTACAATGTGCTGGCTTACAATGTGCTGGCTTACAATGTGCTGGCTTACAATGTGCTGGCTTACAATGTGCTGGCTTACAATGTGCTGGCTTACAATGTGCTGGCTTACAATGTGCTGGCTTACAATGTGCTGGCTTACAATGTGCTGGCTTACAATGTGCTGGCTTACAATGTGCTGGCTTACAATGTGCTGGCTTACAATGTGCTGGCTTACAATGTGCTGGCTTACAATGTGCTGGCTTACAATGTGCTGGCTTACAATGTGCTGGCTTACAATGTGCTGGCTTACAATGTGCTGGCTTACAATGTGCTGGCTTACAATGTGCTGGCTTACAATGTGCTGGCTTACAATGTGCTGGCTTACAATGTGCTGGCTTACAATGTGCTGGCTTACAATGTGCTGGCTTACAATGTGCTGGCTTACAATGTGCTGGCTTACAATGTGCTGGCTTACAATGTGCTGGCTTACAATGTGCTGGCTTACAATGTGCTGGCTTACAATGTGCTGGCTTACAATGTGCTGGCTTACAATGTGCTGGCTTACAATGTGCTGGCTTACAATGTGCTGGCTTACAATGTGCTGGCTTACAATGTGCTGGCTTACAATGTGCTGGCTTACAATGTGCTGGCTTACAATGTGCTGGCTTACAATGTGCTGGCTTACAATGTGCTGGCTTACAATGTGCTGGCTTACAATGTGCTGGCTTACAATGTGCTGGCTTACAATGTGCTGGCTTACAATGTGCTGGCTTACAATGTGCTGGCTTACAATGTGCTGGCTTACAATGTGCTGGCTTACAATGTGCTGGCTTACAATGTGCTGGCTTACAATGTGCTGGCTTACAATGTGCTGGCTTACAATGTGCTGGCTTACAATGTGCTGGCTTACAATGTGCTGGCTTACAATGTGCTGGCTTACAATGTGCTGGCTTACAATGTGCTGGCTTACAATGTGCTGGCTTACAATGTGCTGGCTTACAATGTGCTGGCTTACAATGTGCTGGCTTACAATGTGCTGGCTTACAATGTGCTGGCTTACAATGTGCTGGCTTACAATGTGCTGGCTTACAATGTGCTGGCTTACAATGTGCTGGCTTACAATGTGCTGGCTTACAATGTGCTGGCTTACAATGTGCTGGCTTACAATGTGCTGGCTTACAATGTGCTGGCTTACAATGTGCTGGCTTACAATGTGCTGGCTTACAATGTGCTGGCTTACAATGTGCTGGCTTACAATGTGCTGGCTTACAATGTGCTGGCTTACAATGTGCTGGCTTACAATGTGCTGGCTTACAATGTGCTGGCTTACAATGTGCTGGCTTACAATGTGCTGGCTTACAATGTGCTGGCTTACAATGTGCTGGCTTACAATGTGCTGGCTTACAATGTGCTGGCTTACAATGTGCTGGCTTACAATGTGCTGGCTTACAATGTGCTGGCTTACAATGTGCTGGCTTACAATGTGCTGGCTTACAATGTGCTGGCTTACAATGTGCTGGCTTACAATGTGCTGGCTTACAATGTGCTGGCTTACAATGTGCTGGCTTACAATGTGCTGGCTTACAATGTGCTGGCTTACAATGTGCTGGCTTACAATGTGCTGGCTTACAATGTGCTGGCTTACAATGTGCTGGCTTACAATGTGCTGGCTTACAATGTGCTGGCTTACAATGTGCTGGCTTACAATGTGCTGGCTTACAATGTGCTGGCTTACAATGTGCTGGCTTACAATGTGCTGGCTTACAATGTGCTGGCTTACAATGTGCTGGCTTACAATGTGCTGGCTTACAATGTGCTGGCTTACAATGTGCTGGCTTACAATGTGCTGGCTTACAATGTGCTGGCTTACAATGTGCTGGCTTACAATGTGCTGGCTTACAATGTGCTGGCTTACAATGTGCTGGCTTACAATGTGCTGGCTTACAATGTGCTGGCTTACAATGTGCTGGCTTACAATGTGCTGGCTTACAATGTGCTGGCTTACAATGTGCTGGCTTACAATGTGCTGGCTTACAATGTGCTGGCTTACAATGTGCTGGCTTACAATGTGCTGGCTTACAATGTGCTGGCTTACAATGTGCTGGCTTACAATGTGCTGGCTTACAATGTGCTGGCTTACAATGTGCTGGCTTACAATGTGCTGGCTTACAATGTGCTGGCTTACAATGTGCTGGCTTACAATGTGCTGGCTTACAATGTGCTGGCTTACAATGTGCTGGCTTACAATGTGCTGGCTTACAATGTGCTGGCTTACAATGTGCTGGCTTACAATGTGCTGGCTTACAATGTGCTGGCTTACAATGTGCTGGCTTACAATGTGCTGGCTTACAATGTGCTGGCTTACAATGTGCTGGCTTACAATGTGCTGGCTTACAATGTGCTGGCTTACAATGTGCTGGCTTACAATGTGCTGGCTTACAATGTGCTGGCTTACAATGTGCTGGCTTACAATGTGCTGGCTTACAATGTGCTGGCTTACAATGTGCTGGCTTACAATGTGCTGGCTTACAATGTGCTGGCTTACAATGTGCTGGCTTACAATGTGCTGGCTTACAATGTGCTGGCTTACAATGTGCTGGCTTACAATGTGCTGGCTTACAATGTGCTGGCTTACAATGTGCTGGCTTACAATGTGCTGGCTTACAATGTGCTGGCTTACAATGTGCTGGCTTACAATGTGCTGGCTTACAATGTGCTGGCTTACAATGTGCTGGCTTACAATGTGCTGGCTTACAATGTGCTGGCTTACAATGTGCTGGCTTACAATGTGCTGGCTTACAATGTGCTGGCTTACAATGTGCTGGCTTACAATGTGCTGGCTTACAATGTGCTGGCTTACAATGTGCTGGCTTACAATGTGCTGGCTTACAATGTGCTGGCTTACAATGTGCTGGCTTACAATGTGCTGGCTTACAATGTGCTGGCTTACAATGTGCTGGCTTACAATGTGCTGGCTTACAATGTGCTGGCTTACAATGTGCTGGCTTACAATGTGCTGGCTTACAATGTGCTGGCTTACAATGTGCTGGCTTACAATGTGCTGGCTTACAATGTGCTGGCTTACAATGTGCTGGCTTACAATGTGCTGGCTTACAATGTGCTGGCTTACAATGTGCTGGCTTACAATGTGCTGGCTTACAATGTGCTGGCTTACAATGTGCTGGCTTACAATGTGCTGGCTTACAATGTGCTGGCTTACAATGTGCTGGCTTACAATGTGCTGGCTTACAATGTGCTGGCTTACAATGTGCTGGCTTACAATGTGCTGGCTTACAATGTGCTGGCTTACAATGTGCTGGCTTACAATGTGCTGGCTTACAATGTGCTGGCTTACAATGTGCTGGCTTACAATGTGCTGGCTTACAATGTGCTGGCTTACAATGTGCTGGCTTACAATGTGCTGGCTTACAATGTGCTGGCTTACAATGTGCTGGCTTACAATGTGCTGGCTTACAATGTGCTGGCTTACAATGTGCTGGCTTACAATGTGCTGGCTTACAATGTGCTGGCTTACAATGTGCTGGCTTACAATGTGCTGGCTTACAATGTGCTGGCTTACAATGTGCTGGCTTACAATGTGCTGGCTTACAATGTGCTGGCTTACAATGTGCTGGCTTACAATGTGCTGGCTTACAATGTGCTGGCTTACAATGTGCTGGCTTACAATGTGCTGGCTTACAATGTGCTGGCTTACAATGTGCTGGCTTACAATGTGCTGGCTTACAATGTGCTGGCTTACAATGTGCTGGCTTACAATGTGCTGGCTTACAATGTGCTGGCTTACAATGTGCTGGCTTACAATGTGCTGGCTTACAATGTGCTGGCTTACAATGTGCTGGCTTACAATGTGCTGGCTTACAATGTGCTGGCTTACAATGTGCTGGCTTACAATGTGCTGGCTTACAATGTGCTGGCTTACAATGTGCTGGCTTACAATGTGCTGGCTTACAATGTGCTGGCTTACAATGTGCTGGCTTACAATGTGCTGGCTTACAATGTGCTGGCTTACAATGTGCTGGCTTACAATGTGCTGGCTTACAATGTGCTGGCTTACAATGTGCTGGCTTACAATGTGCTGGCTTACAATGTGCTGGCTTACAATGTGCTGGCTTACAATGTGCTGGCTTACAATGTGCTGGCTTACAATGTGCTGGCTTACAATGTGCTGGCTTACAATGTGCTGGCTTACAATGTGCTGGCTTACAATGTGCTGGCTTACAATGTGCTGGCTTACAATGTGCTGGCTTACAATGTGCTGGCTTACAATGTGCTGGCTTACAATGTGCTGGCTTACAATGTGCTGGCTTACAATGTGCTGGCTTACAATGTGCTGGCTTACAATGTGCTGGCTTACAATGTGCTGGCTTACAATGTGCTGGCTTACAATGTGCTGGCTTACAATGTGCTGGCTTACAATGTGCTGGCTTACAATGTGCTGGCTTACAATGTGCTGGCTTACAATGTGCTGGCTTACAATGTGCTGGCTTACAATGTGCTGGCTTACAATGTGCTGGCTTACAATGTGCTGGCTTACAATGTGCTGGCTTACAATGTGCTGGCTTACAATGTGCTGGCTTACAATGTGCTGGCTTACAATGTGCTGGCTTACAATGTGCTGGCTTACAATGTGCTGGCTTACAATGTGCTGGCTTACAATGTGCTGGCTTACAATGTGCTGGCTTACAATGTGCTGGCTTACAATGTGCTGGCTTACAATGTGCTGGCTTACAATGTGCTGGCTTACAATGTGCTGGCTTACAATGTGCTGGCTTACAATGTGCTGGCTTACAATGTGCTGGCTTACAATGTGCTGGCTTACAATGTGCTGGCTTACAATGTGCTGGCTTACAATGTGCTGGCTTACAATGTGCTGGCTTACAATGTGCTGGCTTACAATGTGCTGGCTTACAATGTGCTGGCTTACAATGTGCTGGCTTACAATGTGCTGGCTTACAATGTGCTGGCTTACAATGTGCTGGCTTACAATGTGCTGGCTTACAATGTGCTGGCTTACAATGTGCTGGCTTACAATGTGCTGGCTTACAATGTGCTGGCTTACAATGTGCTGGCTTACAATGTGCTGGCTTACAATGTGCTGGCTTACAATGTGCTGGCTTACAATGTGCTGGCTTACAATGTGCTGGCTTACAATGTGCTGGCTTACAATGTGCTGGCTTACAATGTGCTGGCTTACAATGTGCTGGCTTACAATGTGCTGGCTTACAATGTGCTGGCTTACAATGTGCTGGCTTACAATGTGCTGGCTTACAATGTGCTGGCTTACAATGTGCTGGCTTACAATGTGCTGGCTTACAATGTGCTGGCTTACAATGTGCTGGCTTACAATGTGCTGGCTTACAATGTGCTGGCTTACAATGTGCTGGCTTACAATGTGCTGGCTTACAATGTGCTGGCTTACAATGTGCTGGCTTACAATGTGCTGGCTTACAATGTGCTGGCTTACAATGTGCTGGCTTACAATGTGCTGGCTTACAATGTGCTGGCTTACAATGTGCTGGCTTACAATGTGCTGGCTTACAATGTGCTGGCTTACAATGTGCTGGCTTACAATGTGCTGGCTTACAATGTGCTGGCTTACAATGTGCTGGCTTACAATGTGCTGGCTTACAATGTGCTGGCTTACAATGTGCTGGCTTACAATGTGCTGGCTTACAATGTGCTGGCTTACAATGTGCTGGCTTACAATGTGCTGGCTTACAATGTGCTGGCTTACAATGTGCTGGCTTACAATGTGCTGGCTTACAATGTGCTGGCTTACAATGTGCTGGCTTACAATGTGCTGGCTTACAATGTGCTGGCTTACAATGTGCTGGCTTACAATGTGCTGGCTTACAATGTGCTGGCTTACAATGTGCTGGCTTACAATGTGCTGGCTTACAATGTGCTGGCTTACAATGTGCTGGCTTACAATGTGCTGGCTTACAATGTGCTGGCTTACAATGTGCTGGCTTACAATGTGCTGGCTTACAATGTGCTGGCTTACAATGTGCTGGCTTACAATGTGCTGGCTTACAATGTGCTGGCTTACAATGTGCTGGCTTACAATGTGCTGGCTTACAATGTGCTGGCTTACAATGTGCTGGCTTACAATGTGCTGGCTTACAATGTGCTGGCTTACAATGTGCTGGCTTACAATGTGCTGGCTTACAATGTGCTGGCTTACAATGTGCTGGCTTACAATGTGCTGGCTTACAATGTGCTGGCTTACAATGTGCTGGCTTACAATGTGCTGGCTTACAATGTGCTGGCTTACAATGTGCTGGCTTACAATGTGCTGGCTTACAATGTGCTGGCTTACAATGTGCTGGCTTACAATGTGCTGGCTTACAATGTGCTGGCTTACAATGTGCTGGCTTACAATGTGCTGGCTTACAATGTGCTGGCTTACAATGTGCTGGCTTACAATGTGCTGGCTTACAATGTGCTGGCTTACAATGTGCTGGCTTACAATGTGCTGGCTTACAATGTGCTGGCTTACAATGTGCTGGCTTACAATGTGCTGGCTTACAATGTGCTGGCTTACAATGTGCTGGCTTACAATGTGCTGGCTTACAATGTGCTGGCTTACAATGTGCTGGCTTACAATGTGCTGGCTTACAATGTGCTGGCTTACAATGTGCTGGATAACAAAGGGATGACTGTAATGGAACACTATCTCTTATGGTCTTTCACTTCTTGCTTGAAACATATTTCAATTTCATTCTGTTCCAATCACTGTACAAACTTGTCGCCTCCATTCAGGATGAGGTAAACATAGTGAGGGTTTCTCCTTCACTATCGATGGAATTCATGATCGGTTATTACACACAACAGGTCAATATTTTCTAAAGCTTTAAAGCGAGACGATATTTGCAGAAGATATTTGTACATTTTAATACTTCCTCGGCGTCATTGAAATTGTCGCTTCCCAGAGCGATTTTTGAACTTTATTTCGTCCACTCAAAGAGCAAAGAAATCAGCTAGAAATTGAGGCAGAGCATTGTCGACTGACGAAGCTTTAGTTGGGGGCCTCCCGCTTCGCTGCACGTGCGGCTGAGGTCGACGTCTTCATCAGAGCTTGGGCAGATCCTTCAGCACTCAACAATACGCTGAACAAGACGCGCGTTCAAATTCAGGTCATGAAACTTCGTTTTTGAGCGATCCATGCCTCAAGGTGGCAGGTGATGACGGCAAACTCGCATTTTTCTAGTACACTGTAACGACCTTCCAGCGGGATAGGGTAAGCAGTTCCGCACCTTCTTTATTTGGCAAACGCTTCGCTGGTTTTGCTGGTGTTTTCAGACCTGCTACCTTCGCAGCAACATGCGCTACACGTAGCACATTTTAGGAATTTGAGAACACTTCATTCTTGCCATCGTCAACTTCAGCATTTCTAATTCAGTAGAGATACCAGGATTCTTATACCCTAGCTTGCAGCCTTGATAAATGCCCACGCGAACGATGTGGGCCGGCACAAATGCCAGAAAAAGGATACGCGCTCTGGGGCAAAATAGTGCAGAGCGCATTGAATTTGTGTGGTGCGGAAGAGAGCTCCTTTACCACCACGGCTTCACTAACAAGTAGACATTGTGCAGGAAGGGTCGCACAAACGTTCGAACACAGAAAACAGCGATTCCGACAGTCTGACTAAGACGAGCAAGTCACAAACATTGCTATTTGCGAAGCGACAATTTTAATGACGCAGAGGAAGTACTTACCAAAATTTGCCTCCCCCAGGTCTTCTGTGGTGGCACTAACTGGCACAGTAGTTGTTGGTACGTTGGTCGATGCAGCAGTTGCTGGTACATTGGTCGATGCAGCAGTTGCTGGTACGTTGGTCGATGCAGCAGTTGCTGGTACATTGGTCGATGCAGCAGTTGCTGGTACGTTGGTCGATGCAGCAGTTGCTGGTACATTGGTCGATGCAGCAGTTGCTGGTACCTTGGTCGATGCAGCAGTTGTTGGTGCATTGGTTGGTACAGCAGATGTTGGTGCTTTGGTTGGCACAGCAGTTGTTGGTGCTTTGGTCGGTACAGCAGTTGCTGGTGCATTGGTCGATGCAGCAGTTGCTGGTACCTTGGTCGATGCAGCAGTTGCTGGTACCTTGGTCAATGCAGCAGTTGCTGGTACCTTGGTCGATGCAGCAGTTGTTGGTGCATTGGTTGGTACAGCAGATGTTGGTGCTTTGGTTGGTACAGCAGTTGTTGGTGCTTTGGTCGGTACAGCAGTTGCTGGTGCATTGGTCGATGCAGCAGTTGTTGGTGCATTGGTCGGTACAGCAGATGTTGGTACTGTTAGCAATTCACTCGTTTTTGGCAAAAGAGACGTTGTTCTGACGGCTGAACTAGGCTGTGACGCTAAAACGAACAAACAAATAGCACAAGTAGCGGTTGCATTTAAAGCGTCGTTGCTATGGTATCAAAACGGCTATTAGTTTTATGGAGTGTTTGCCGCACTGGATTCTAAGCTGCACCCCTTTTTCGGGCCAAAAATTCGTATGTTTTGCTGACATTCAGCGCTTAAGCCGCACGTCCAATTTTTGGCAACCTAACTGAATGGATATCAGTACATACAAGACGTCATCAGTGGTTAAAGGGGAAGTTAAGGCAAAAATTAAAATTTCACCAGTTGTAGTCTTCGGGGTGCTGAGTCGAATGGTCGTGGTCCGAGGAAGCTGAGACGCTCCCTTCCTACTTGAATCCCAATCGAACTCGCGCACTTCCACCGAAACTGGGTGACTGCGCCCTACTAGATGGGGATTTGTATGCAAAATGTCACTAAAAGCGCCATTTCGTTCTTATAAAAGCACGGATGACCGCGATTGGCCCATATGTTGTAGTCTTTTGGACGCTGAGTCGACTGGTTTTGGTCCGAAAAGGCTGCGATGCGGCGTTCCTCCTTTATTCCCAATCGAACATGGTTGAACAAGCGGTCACGTGCTCCTGCGTACACCAGTCACCTGGTCACCGTGCCTGCAGGGTACAACTTACTAGCCTGTTTGACCTTTTTTGGGTGCAGTCCTGTACTCGAGTTGAACTCGAGTTGAACCTTGGTGTGAAAGTTGTCACCTGCTGGCGTGGTGACCAGGTGATTTGGGCACCCGGGACCACGTGACCGCTTCTTCAACCATGTTCGATTGGGAATAAAGGAGGAACGCTGCATCGCAGCCTTTTCGGACCAAAACCAGTCGACTCAGCGTCCAAAAGACTACAACATATGGGCCAATCGCGGTCATCCGTGCTTTTATAAGAACGAAATGGCGCTTTTAGTGACATTTTGCATACAAATCCCCATCTAGTAGGGCGCAGTCACCCAGTTTCGGTGGAAGTGCGCGAGTTCGATTGGGATTCAAGTAGGAAGGGAGCGTCTCAGCTTCCTCGGACCACGACCATTCGACTCAGCACCCCGAAGACTACAACTGGTGAAATTTTAATTTTTGCCTTAACTTCCCCTTTAACAAGTTGACAAGCAAGACCAAAGTTCTACCAAAAGCTGACTACTGTAAAAGCCATTATTCTAACGAGGCGCATATATAACGATTTCCCAAAATTGACTGGTTTACGTGTACCAAAGGTATCGATTCTCACTCATTCTCAACGCTCAATAGGACAGTATAGGTGTCGATTTCTGTACAACGATTTCTATTTCAACGACAGATTTCTCCTCGTTAACGAGTTATCGTTAGAGTTAGCACTTCGTTATATATATGGCTTTTACAGCAGTTTGTTCTTCACAACATGTAGAAGCCTCGTGCTACTGTAACGATGGATGGGAGGACATGATAGGTTGCTAAATGACACCATCCATGCATCACACTCGTGGAGTGCTGTTGTGCTGGTCGATTCACAGCCAGCATTCGGACTCCAAGCCGTGGGAGCAATTTTTGAGTTTTTTCATGCGTTATAAAGTGCGATTAACGCCCCGGAAAATATGGTACCTGCTATTATGACTATAATGCATGCCCCACTGGTGTAGGACGTTGATAGGAGGGGAAATGGGCTAGATGAATGCTTGCAAGTTTTAAGTACTTGTATACAACTGGGTAGTATGTCTCACAGTAAAACCAAGGTGATGACTGTACAGTGTACAAGATATTTTGTACAGTTACTAGTACTTACCAAAATTCGACTCTCCCAAGTCTTCTGTGGTGGGATTTGCTGGCAGAGTAGTTCTTGGTGCAGTAGTTGTTGGTACAGAGGTCGATGCAGCCGTTCCTGGCATAAAAAGTGTTGTCCTGATGGCCGAAGTGGGGTGTGAGGCTACAAAGGCAAATGAGAATGAGCACTATTTCTTTAGACAAATAACCTACGTGGAGACGATAAATAATTAGAGCTGTAAAAAGTATGAATGCCACAGACATCATTCCGCAGCATGACAACGTATAAGGGGTTCATGTGTACTACATCCAGAATCGATTATCAAGTTCTTTATCGTCAGTGGAGATAAGGAGCCCGAGCCATAAAAAGTGAGTACCGTATTTTCCGGAGTATAAGCCGCACTTTGAACACTCAAAATCACCGGGGGGGGGTTGCAGTTTATAGTCCGATGATCAAATTAACGGTGATAAATAGGGTAGATGTCTGTATTTCATGGAAAAATGGGGATGCTGCTTATACTCCGGAAAATACAGTGCACAAAGGTTGAATATCCAAGGGAGTGATAGAGCTGAGTCAAACAGGCCAATAAAAGTGAGATTGAGACTAAAGATTAGGTGACAAAGTTACGCGAAGAAGCGTAGAAACAATAATGTGACCACAAAACCTCCCTACCTGTGGCGACGGCTGGCTGTGTTGATACGCTGTGTGGCGGTGTCGTACTCAAGCATGTCACCACCAGCAATGCCAGCAGCAATATGCTGGAAAGCCTCCAGACCTCTACACAGAGCAAGGGACAGAAGAAATGCATGTTGATGTGATGCAGTTTGGTAGAGAGTTGTTTCGAAGGAAGACTTGCTCCAGCTGCTTCACTACAATTTGGTTAAACCCCGCTGGAGTTGATACTTTGCAAAAGCATTTGACATGGCCAAGCCGGCGACATAAATTCAATCTCCAGCATAGGACATTAGTCTGTATAGTTCAATATCAAGAAAGCTGCCCCAATCCCCCCCCCCCGACCTCCCCGACCTCCCCCCCCCCCCCCCCCGATCTCCCCAGTTCATGGAGTTACGACGAGTAGTGTTCTGCAACTAGGAGGAGAAACTGTGCGATAGCTTTCTTTATACATGGGGCATACTCGTAATTGCAGTGCACAAACGGGTGTGGGAGAGAACTGTGAAGAGTGAAGGGATCATGTCGTGAATGTTGTACGTTTGGAGACCAGAATAGACCCCCCACTCCCCCCCCCCCCCCGCACCTCCACGACCTCCAGAATGGTAGAAGTGACTTTACTCCCTTGCACCCAGACAATGATTTTTTTCAACAAGTTTCTATACATACCTCCGATGGGAAAATCCGATATCGCAGTGCTTTTCGGCGTGGCCAGGTCAAATTGTAGAATATCGCAGCGAGTGTATTGCTTTATCTGAGAGAGATGTTCGTGACCTTGAGACTCGAAGTCCTGTTTCCATCCGACAAAATTTAGGCGCTCTGTGCTCAGCGCTTTTTCAGGGTTTGAATATCGGGGTGTTCTGGTCGGGTTGCAGCGTCGCGGACTATTCCATCGTCTCCAGCATAGAAAACTACTGGCCATGTGAAATTACAAGGCGGTGAGAAGCTTTCGTCTTCCTCTACGAGCGAATTTGTTCTGCGCCAGCATACCAAAGTATACAATTTCGTACACGTAGTTCGAGTGACGAGGCGTGTGCACTGTACACTGTACTGCATGCACTGACTGTGCGGTCGTTCTCGATTCTCACATCACTCTCATTCATTTCTGGTTCCAGCGAAAATCCAACTTGGCGCACTTCAAGTCACTATAACTCAAGAATGGCTAGGCCGATTTGAATAATACTTGCAGATTGCCTATGTTACGCCTGGGAGAATCGAATGAGACCAAAATCGGAGCGATCGGAGCAAGTTTTGAAAATTGGATGTAGTCACTAATGGTAGCGCGTGGGTCATTGGGAATCGATGAATCAGGAGGCGGTAGTTTCATTGAACCACCTAAGCTTTTCCAACGGACGGGGACACGCAATAATGAATGGATTCACACGGTTGTAAGTTTGTTATGTAAATCTCTGGAGCACCACTCGGAAACTCTCCATTGAGTCAACACCAAGCAGCAACGACAATAAATTAACTTTCTCAACCTGCAATCAGCAGCATGGGAAACGAATCGGGTGTTGGGTTTACAAAGCGGCACACCCCACGCGGCCTTACCTAGCATGTTTGAGAGGCTGGTCGCTTGCGAACGCTCAGCCCTCAGGATCGTCTCCAAACACAAGAGCGGTTTTCCAGGTCGTTGGTGCTGCCTCAGACGCCTATCGGCAAAGCAGTATATACTGTGCCGTCCAAATCAGTGTTGTTGAGAGGACACGAGTGAAGGGCCACTATTGCTTGCGATTCGGAGATCTAAAGGCGAAGAAGTAACAGATTCGTCGCCACAAAATGTTGATGGAGTAACATCATACTCTTCAGTTCCGACCGGCTTGCATCTCATAACAGCTTGGACGTAAACGAGCCAACACGGAAGTCTGGTAGATCTACATGTACACCTTTGCTCCGTCAAATACTCCTTGCCGCATGCCGGCACATTGCCATTGGCTGGTATCGCTTACGGACAAACACTGTCAAGTGAATGTGACACTGAGTCCGTGGGGTTTGTGGATTAGCGTGCCTGGTTCCGTGAAGATTCGATCGAAAATTCACAAGTCATCGCGTTTCCTACAACTAGTACACCATGGTAGATCTACACGTGTGCTGTCTGTTGAGACTTGTGCGACTGGCAGGCCGCAATGCCAGACAGTCCTGAGACTGAGTGCTGACTGCTGGTCACTGGCGCGCTAGCGGATGTGAGCAGCGCCCGGCGCACTGTAGAGTAGTCTGTAGCCCTATACAAATGCCTTAGGTGCACGAGAACTAAGCCGCGGCGCTGTGCTCGAGAACCACAACCTACACACTGCATGGTTCACTTACATGACTTGTATACCGGTACTACATACAATAACTGACAGTCTTGATCGGCCGCTGTGGCAGTGCGGGCGAAGGGCATCTCACACGTTCAACAGTGGCAGTACTCGTAAATTTCGGATCGTCACTGAGCTGAACGGATAAATCTACTCGACGCCTTGCTAAGACTAATACTAGTAATACCGGTACTTCTAGCGCGGGCAGCTATTTTGAACAAGAACCCATGGCCTATTACTTAGTATTAGCTACAATACGCTGGTGCGAGCACGTTGTTCACAAGAAAGGTGGAGATCGTGGACTGTGTGGTGATCGTAGACTGTCAAGGAGTAATTCCCTTTCATCTGTTTGTCAGTAGGATCCGAGGAGTGTGTCAAGTTCAGGTCTGCCATCCACCTGTGAACCGCAAACTGCGCACTGTTATGACATGTTGACACTCGAGAAATGCGCTGTATATAGCAGAGCGCATGTGATCATAGCATGCCCTGCTTGTCATGACTAGTGTGTGTTCACCCTTAGCTTCCACATGTCGAAAACGGCAAGCGTTACGTGGCTTTCTGCAGGGTGTGTGCTGGTTGCTGAAAACCTACAAAGCGCGTTTTTCATTTCTTGCCCGTGACGATTTCTACCTTTCCGTTTGTCACGTGATTTTGTACCTTGTGTCGTTGCAGCCTTACGCACACTTGCACCTTTTCTCCATTACTTTCTACGTGTATGGGACTATGGGTCATGCATTTGACGCTGTTGTTTTGGCTCTTCTTCCTTGCGCTGTTTCTATCACCTCTCTGCTGTATTTAAACCATTGTCCATGTTCATTAAATGAATTTTGATTTCGCCTGTATTTCACCTGATAATACGGCATGAAAGTATACTACTAGTGAAAACTTTCAAACCGTTCAAGGGCCTGAAGTGTGTCCTACTTCTAAGTATGTATGTAAACCAGTACAATTTAGCCGAGGTACTCTATGTGTGGAAAATATGCATGGTCTACGAAAAAGTACCTTGTATTACCTTTCCTGCCACAGAACCCTTCTGCCTTTTCTCTCTCCTTTGCACCATTCACAATTAACTTAATTCGCTGTCATCAGGCATATAATCAGTTTGTACTTGCAAACAACTCAAACAAGCAAAAACAAAACCAGTACATGCATTGCAAAATACTAGTACATCCGATGCAAACAGAAAAATATGTTGCACTTGTATTCAGAAAGCACAGAGGCAGTAAGTTTCTGCTGGGTTTTACGTTTCTGCTTGATTATGTAATAACATCTCGAGTCCCTATGCTATGGGTGTGGAGTGCAGCGGTATGGGAGTGTTTGTGTACTATATTCGCACTGTATACCAGTGCATGTAGTTAGGTGAGACTTGTTGATCTCAGTCGACCTGGGGTATCGGCATCACGCGAACAGCAAATGCACCACGAAAACTCTCCCCCTCTCTCCCTCCCTCAAGAATGTCATGCACACTGTCACATACAGGAAATGCCCGTATGTTGATCCCGCTTCTAAATCCCCAGAGAGATCTGGAAAAGTGAAAGGCAATAGATGGCGTTCATGTGATCTGCTGCAGGAGCAGGAGCAGCACTAGCAACAGCAGAAGCAACATGGTCTGTCTGTGAGAGAACACAGTGACACAACACTATGTACTAGTACTATGATTCTCATGGGTACAACTGTGGAAAACAACAGATACAGGCAAAGACACAAGGATAAACAACAGATACAGGCAAAGACACAAGGATAAACAACAGATACAGGCAAATACACGAGGATAAACGGCAGTCGAGATCAATTTGGTCCAGTGACATGCAACGAAAAGAAGAGGATTTGCGTTGTAACTACGAGTTTCATGAATGAGGCGATCGCAAGACGTCTTGAGTTTAATTTTGTGATCGTTAATGTTTCGCCGAACTTCCATAGCCAGCACCGAATGCTAGTTGATGACCATCTTGAGATGAATCATGAACACAACCCTGTGTGGGGATGATCAATTACTTAGATGGATTTCGCGAATGGGAGTGTCTCATAGCGCTTCAGGGTTCTACGCATGTGCCGTTGACAAACTGTTGCCATGGAACACAGGAACACAGACAATAACACACATGCAAAGCTGGTGTTCATAGCATGCACATTTGCAGGAGGTCATGAAGGGCACATGCTGTCAGACCACCCAAATTTCAGAACAGCTTGATGCATGCTGCAGCACAATCAGCAAGAGAAAGAGGCCGTGGATGGATTCAGGGGCGTAGGCAGGGGGGGGGGGGGGGGTTGCTTCGGGTGCCAAAGCACCCCCCCCCCCCTCAACAATTTCGATCTTGGTTCCCAGCTGGTTCGAGAGAGACCATAATACGCGGACCGCTCAGTGATCACATGCTTGTGCGACTCTGCACATCGCACACTGTAGCAATCTCTGCCGTTCAGTCAGGGAGTAGTAGGTATTGTACTCCCTGGTTCAGACCTACATGTATGTGTTTTTTAAACATCTCAATTCAATCCACATCATGCAGTTGACGGTTAGTCTCATGATTTTGTTGGCCATTTTGCTATGAAACTTCTAGTCAAGGGCAAATCCGCTTCGTATCTGCCATTGTGCCGTATCACGTCAGACCTCAGCAGGCTCAGCACATGCTTTGTAGAAGCAAAGAATCATACAAATACGCCATGGGTAGAAGTAGCAACACGGTCCATGGAAAATACATGTCATACATAGCAGGCTGTTCGCGCTATGTTTTGTATGATGTAGTTCTGGCTGTTGAGTGGTCGTGTTGCGGGTTGTGGAAAGGCAACTTTGAAGAAGTTTCGTTCATGTGTTGCATGTGTGGGTACAGCAGCAGAAGATTGAAAGTAACGTTGAAGTGCAGTTTGCAGTTTTTTTGTGGGAAATATAGTGTAGATTGGATCAAGGATACCTTACTGCACTATCAAACACAACGAAGAAAAAAATGGCGGAGAGTGATAATTCTGCAGAAAGCAGCATCCAGGACTTAGCCCATCATTGGTTTGAAGCAGGGAGTAGTAAAATACCATATTAATGTTACTATTCCCGGGCTGGAGGTTTGACATTCATTGATTGATCTTCAGCGTCAAATGTGGTACGCTTTCCAACGGCCAAAGAGAGTTGGAAAGCTTGTGTCTTTGTGGGTAACTTGAACATTTGGGGCTCATGTAAAATCGCACTGATTTTGGGATTTCCCTGCAACTTTTTGCTTCAGCAAAAAATGTTGTGCTTGACCACATTCCTGTCACTTCGCAGTGGCTTTTCGTTGGTGCAGTTTGTATCCCACCCTCCCACCCCTGACTTCTGGGTGTGTGTTTATCGATATAATCTTATCGGCTTTCTTATTGGCCATGTGGCTGTGGCAGTTACGACTGCTTTTCTTTTTTAGTTTAAAAACGTAGGGGTGGTGTGTGCGTCGCGGGCCTTTGTATGGTTACGTACAGCTTCAGATTGTATAGCTAGTGCCAGGGGAGTTCAATTGAATCTGCATGGGAAGAATACTATTGTATTGTGATTGAACTGAAGCTGGATGATGACCGTGTGGTGAGTGTGTGGGTTTTTACAAGATACCGTCCTGGGGCAGGGATGTAGGTCCTTTAGCTTGGACGGGTGTTGTTACATTCATTGTAACATCTTGTCGTTTTCTGTGTGCTTTGCTGTGCGACTAGCAGCAGTATCTTGTGCTTATTTTTCTTATCTCTATGCATCCAATTATTTAAAAAAAAAATCAGGAAGAGGATATAATATCAATAAATAAAGCCATTGCCGAGCCACCGTGCTCACAGCAGAGACTTCTGTGTGTGTTATTGTCGTGAAAGTGGACCACAAAGACGGGTTTAATCCCCCCCCCCCTCCCCATATCGCGGATCAAATAATATTCATGAAAGGACCAACACAAGTGCATGACTCTACTTCCTCCGTAAAAAAACTTCGTCACTCTTTTTCGGTCATTTTTGCTGCTGTTCTGTCGCTCTGTGTGTGGCTCTGTTGGCCTGAAAGGCTGAAACACCAACAGATTACATTTCGGAACCATAGGCAGGCATAGGAAGACGACAGTCATCGCAAAGCAAGGGTGTCGTGCTGTAAATCAAGCAAAATGACGGTGTTTTGCATTTTGTCCGCCAGGCACATTGCCAACAAAAGCACTGCGCTCACTGCTCGTCGTTGAGAGTTTTTGGTTCAGAATGAGAAAGAGCAGGACAATGGTACTGAGGAGCAAGAAGAGTGTGAAAGGGATAGCAGCTAGAGTTTGGGAATCCGCGTCATCCCCAAAAACACCAGCCAAAGTGCGAACAGGTTGGCAAGATGACTGGACTTCGCTCAACGCATTCCACAGGGCTCTGCTTGTATCGTGAACTGAAATAACAAAATGTTTGGATAGTGCTGACTCGAGTGCAACATTAGGGTGTCCCTGCGGCTGGCTAAATCGCTTTGTTGCCACAGCCGATTATATATCCAGGGTACTTAACATTCAGTACTGTTTCATTGTACTTAAAGAAAGTTACAACACACTATGACTGTGATGTTACTCTCTACAACTAATGTTATGACACTATCAAGACTGCACCAGGGAATTGCACAAGGCAACCCCAAACCATGACTGAACAGGGACAAAATTTGTAAATCAACCTATGCTACGCCAACAACACATGGATGTCGAGAAGACAACGAGCAGCAACCATCACTCGTGTAGAGTTAGTGGGTTAGTGGCATGCCTGCAGACCAACATTCCTGTTCCACCGTAGTCTTCAC